ATATCTGCTCGTAGACTGGCAACCAGGCCGACATGGTAAAGTCCAAATCAAACCAGAATTTGATGCTGGTGGGAGGGGCTTAGATCTTCTGTTCTAGTAATAACCCAAAAGACTTATATACTATGCACATGTGTAGAAGAGTCTCTTTGGACACCATGTGCTGGCTCTGGTCTCTCTGATGGGTTCTCTTTGGGGACACCACGTGCTGGCTCTGGTCTCTCTGATGGGTTCTCTTTGGGGACACCATGTGCTGGCTCTGGTCTCTCTGATGGGTTCTCTTTGGGGACACCATGTGCTGGCTCTGGTCTCTCTGATGGGTTCTCTTTGTGCTGGCTCTGGTCTCTGATGGGTTCTCTTTGTGCTGGCTCTGGTCTCTGATGGGTTCTCTTCGTGCTGGCTCTGGCGCTCGTCTTGTTTTCTGTCTTGTTACAAAGCTTTAGCTGATTCCATTACAGGGCGCTGAAGACAAAAGGGAACACCCCGAAATACGGCCTCATCTTCCACTCCACCTTCATTGGACGCGCTGCTGCCAAGAACAAGGGGCGGATCTCCCGTTACCTGGCCAACAAGTGTTCCATCGCCTCCCGCATAGACTGCTTCTCAGGTGAGATGCCCCCTGCTGGTGGAGTACATGGCTGCATTCAGATGTTGGTGTGATCTGTAGAGGAGACAAATTTTGGGGGTAACGTGGTTCATGGGGGGCTGGGAGGGACCAAGCTTTGGGTGATGTAGCTGAACATGCGTACAGATCTGGGTAGACGGCACCTATATATGACTTTCTTCCCCCCCGCTGTGATCCCCGAGAAACTTTTCTTCAATCTGCTTCACAATGATGGTTCATAATTTTTCGTCAGCAGTATATCACCTCGGTGTATGTTGATAACCTTGTGTCTGAGTGAAGCGGAGGTCCCCCGCACTTGGCGGGTCTCCTAACCTGCAGAGGGCGGTGAGGTTTGAGGTCTAATGTTCTGTCTTCTCCTTATTGCAGAAATCCCCACCTGTGTGTATGGAGATAAACTGAGGGGGCAGGTGGAGGAGCGGCTGGCCTTCTACGAGACCGGAGAGGCTCCACGCAAGAACCTCGATGTGATGAAGGAGGCCCAGGCAGAGGTCAGTGTCTCTGGATGTAAAACGCCTGGCGTTGGGTGTAGAAGGTTCTGACCAGGAAGGCCTGGGTGGAGGTTGGTGTCCTTGTTGTAGCTGTGGAAGCCCAGGCAGAAGTCCGAGGCTTCTAGTTAGGGGAGCTCGGGTGTAGAAGGTTCTAACCTAGAGGGTCTGGGTGGAGGTTGGTGTCTCATTGTAGCTGTGGAAGCCCAGGCAGCGGTCATTGTCTATGGGTGGAAAAAGCCTGCAGTGGGGGGAGCTCGGGTGTAGAAGTTCCTGACCAGGAGGGGTATGGGTGGAGGTTGTTTTTTTTTTGTGGCCGGGGAAGTCCGAATCTTCTGCTTCAGAGGCTTCTAGTTAGGGGAGCTCAGGTTTAGAAGGGCCTGGGTGGATGTTGGTGTCTCCCATTGTTGCTGGTGAAGCTCAGGCATGAGTTTGAATCTTCTACTTTAGAGGCTTCTAGTTAGGGGAGCTCGGATGTAGAAGGTCTTACCAGGAGGGTCTGGGTGGAGGTCTGTGTCTCCCATTGTAGCCAGTGAAGCTCAGGCAGAAGTCATTGTTCAAGTTAGGGGAGTTCGGGTAGTAGAAGGTTCTAACCTGGAGGGTCTGGGTGGAAGTTGGTCTCTCCCATTGTAGCCGGGGAAGCTCAGGCAGAAGTCATTGTTCAAGTTAGGGGAGCTCGGGTAGTAGAAGGTTCTAACCTTTTATGGATGCTTGGGCAGAGTTCAGTAGGTTCTCCTGGAGTAGAGACTTTTTTAGGGGAGGCATGGACTGAGGTCAGTAGAAGCCCCATATCCCAGGGATGTCGGAAGTGATGAAGCTTTTTATCTCCTGACCAGAATGGTGGAGGCAACAAACTGATTTAATGAGCCTGATCCGACGAGCGTCACTCCAGCAGAGGGGTAGCTATGTCATCTTGGGGATGGATTTGGTTTAAGTCTCCATTGTGGGGTTTTTTTTTAGGCCACCGAAGTCGTAACTGAGATCAAGAGGAAAATTGACAAGAAAGAGCGGAAGAGGAAGAAGCGCGAGAAGAAGAGACTAGCAGCAGCGGAAGAGATGGAGGAAGAAGAGCCTTCAACAAAGAGCACAGAGGAAGCCGAGGTGAGGGTGGTTGTGGTGGGCCCAGTAGGGACAATGTGTAAATCTCCCCTTCCCTGTTGACTTGGAAGGTGCACCCTCCTAGGCTGCCGTCCAAGTGTTGCTTCTCAGTTGCTGACCTCCGATATCTCATTGTTCTCTCAGGAGAAGCCCAAGAAGAAGAAAAAGCAGTCTGAGGAAGAAGAGGAGACACCCGGCAAGAAGAAGAAAAAGAAGCAGCCGGAGGTGGTTGAGGTCTCGGAGGAAGAGGAGGCGACACCCAGCAAGAAGAAAAAGAAGCGGAAGTCTGAGGCGGAGTTGTCGGAGAACGGCATGGAGGAGGAAGAGACTCCCCTGAAGAGGAAGAAGCCGTCCACAGCAGAGACCCCGGCCACAGAAAAGAAGAAGAAGAAACGTTAAAGTGCTCCGGGAGGAGGACGGCTGGGCCAGAGCCGCACTCTACAGACTGGTTATAAGTCAGGACTGCGCCTTTCATTTCATACTTTTATTTTTCTGTACAGAGTATTGCAGCTTGAGGACAATGAGCTGGAACTTCGTCACCTCAGTTTGTGAAATACGGATTAAAGTTTGTATATAACAAGTTCCAGAGTGTCTGTTATATGGAGTTGGGTGGCCATGAGGGGGGAACTGCTGTTCCAAATCCAGGGAGGATGTGTACTGGGGGGGGGTGACACCTGGCTTTAAGATGTGGGCGGGGTTTAAAGTGCTAAGCTCTCAAGCCAAACAATTAAAAATCATGTTTCTGAACAGCTGCTTCCAAGTCCCTCAGCTCAGCTTCCCTGAACTTCCTGTCCAGTACTAGATCACAAAGGACAGAGCAGACTCCAGCAACTGTTCATCTACTAGCTTGGGGGGGAGTGGCTTGATTTACTGTGTCCTGACACACGTGACTACAAAGCACTCTGCTTTAGGGGGGGAGCAGTCACCCTAAGACAGGAAGTCGGGCCCAGTGCTCAGGGCACCAGCTGATTCTGCAGGAAGCTAAAACTTTTATACATCAAGAAGCGGCGTCCATTGTAAGCATTTGAAGTAAAAGTGATGAAGTCAGGTTCTCTTCTATCAGATGTTTAGTGGCCAAAGCCAGCACAGTGCTTCCATGCTTGCCCCTGAAAGACGCTCCTATCTGATCTGCCTGCAGCCTCTGAGCTACAGAGTCTCCCCAGTCCTTGTTGCATAAACAGTCGGTACAACATAGGGATTGATGGCAGACTTTGACCTCTGTAGAGGCCGGTTTGTCCAAGAACTTGAGAGCCTCGGTAGCGGCTCAGACTGGGCAGATCAGAGAGGAGCATCTTCAGGGGGGGGCACTCTGCTGGCATTGACTACAGACGCCATTAAACATCTGCTAGTTAAATGCTGCGCCACTGCAGTGACCTCCTTGGAGAGAGCAGAGGACATGGCCAGACATGAGGACACTTTGGCTGAAGTGTTAGATTGCAGAGCCCGTGTCTAGGATGCTTCCAATCAGCATGGCCTTCAGCCCTCGTTCACACCGGAACGTTTTGTAGCGCGTTCTACGCTCGACGAACGCTCAAAAATATAAATTGCATTGTATTCAATGGTCTCGTTCCCACCTCGGCGTATTTCCGCCTAACGCGCTACAAAACGCCCCGCGCCTGAAAAGGTCCAGGTACTACTTTTGGGCCGTTTTTGTTGTGAGTTTCCATTGGGATACAGCCAAGTAGCCTTTGGAAACGCGTGACGGTCGCGCGAATCGTGGTAAAAAAAACTGTGCGACGGTCGCGCATATGCAATACGCCTAGGTGTGAACAAGACCTCAAGGGATGGCGCCTCTTTGGGGCTGCTCTGGGTGCCACAGGTGACGAGTGATCCTTTCTGTGGCAAAAAGCGTAACGCCTGGCCCCGAGTCTGCTCACAAACCCATCTGGTCCAGGCAGACCCCAGACCTAAGTATGCACGAGAACCCATCAAGATTTCACACAAACCCTCTGACAAGTCGTTCAGTAGAACGGTCTAGCCCTACTTTCCAAAGTGAGGAGGTGTTTGTAAGCCTTTAGGGACACTTTGGCAACCTCCCATCAGACACTTGGGTTTCAGGGGCTACAAGCTAGTTTTGCCGGGCTCTTCATTTCTGTCTGCGCATCTCTAGCGGGTCTTCTGGAGACTTTCTCACCTCATTGGACATCCCTGCATCTCCCTATTCCAGCACATCGGGGATTACGACACGTTGCTGCGAGTCCTCTGCCCTCCTGCGCCTCAGCTGTTCGCCAAGGTGCTGGGCCCCATTGCTGGCTCTCTTGATCGCACAGGACACAGGCAGATCCAGAGACAACAGGGGTAATATGCAGGGGGGTCATCAAGGGATGGGACACTGGCTGGAGCTGTGGGGGACCTTGTATAACCCCTCCCACTCCTGGAAATCCTTAGGTTGGTGTGCTTAGGTGATGGATGTCTGTTCTATGGAAGGAGATGTGGGGTAGTTTTACCTTTTATTATTTTTTTAGTCTGGTTATTCTCTCGTCACCTTCCAGGACAATCAGAGAGAGGCTCCTCCCACTGGAACAGGATGGCATCAGAGAGGCTCCTCCCACCAGAACAGGAAACTAATCGCCGTCACCTAAAAGAGCACAAGCCTGGCACGCTTCAGTTATTTTGGGTTTCCTCCGGCCGAGCAGGACATCGTAACATTTGTTACTTTGCCTAGGCCTTAGTGCTAGTGAGCAGGGGCTGCCCCCGTCTGGGAGTACAGCATCTAGGGTCAGTGGACCTCAAAAGTGCTCACGATGGAGCGTTGCAGGACAGCCCCCTCCCCTCCAAGAACATGCTTTTTTGCTGGAGGTTTGCCCGCCTAGGTGTATGCAGCAAAACTATCCCTCTGATGTTGTGGAGTCTCCCCTACTGCGAAACTTCTGCTTAGGTCTTAGTGTGGACACAGCGTTGGTACGTTGGTTATAAATGTGGCTCGTTACCCGCTTGATGCAGTTAGCAGGGTGTTCCCCGGAGTCAGCCGGGCCATGTGTTCTGACATGGGGTTGCGGTCACACAGGACACCCGTCATGGCACAGTCCAAGTCATGGTTATGTAGATGCGTTTTCTCAGAAGCTGCTCAGAGGTTAATGAGGTTTGCAATCAAGGGCCCCGGGGGAGGTTTTGCACTTCCAGCACAGGGCCCTCCCGTTTGGCCTATCCTCCGCCCCAAGAATCTTTACAAAAGGTCCTGGCGGAGGCACTGGTCCCTCTCAGACTAGTTCACACCTAGGCGTATTGCATATGCGCGACTGTCGCGCGTTTTTTTTACCGCGATTCGCGGTAAAAAAAAGTCACGCGACCGTCGCGCATTTCCGAAGGCTACTTGGCTGTATCCCAATGGAAACGCGCAACAAAACGGCCCAAAGTAGTCCCGGGACCTTTTCAGGCGCGGGCCGTTTTGTAGGGCGTTAGGCGGAAATACGCCAAGGTGGGAACGAGACCATTGAATACAATGGGATTTATATTTTTGAGCGTTCGTCGAGCGTAGAACGCGCTACAAAACGTTCAGGTGTGAACGAGGGCTAAGAGGGATAGGTGTCACCCCTGACCTGGACGATCTACTGTTTTTCGCATGCGGCCAGGAAGTCCTCGACGCAAACCTTGCCGCAAGCATTGCCCCACCCTCGGAATCGGGGTTGGCTCATAAACGTGGAGAAATCTCAGGCGGTTCCATCTCGGAAGGTGACGTTTGTGGGCTACCAAGTGCATACGGAATTAGCGAGCATGTTCCTCCAGGAGGGCAGGATTGCCAGGCACCGTTTTGTAGCGCGTTAGGCGGAAATACGCCAAGGTGGGAACGAGACCATTGAATACAATGGGATTTATATTTTTGAGCGTTCGTCGAGCGTAGAACGCGCTACAAAACGTTCAGGTGTGAACGAGGGCTAAGAGGGATAGGTGTCACCCCTGACCTGGACGATCTACTGTTTTTCGCATGCGGCCAGGAAGTCCTCGACGCAAACCTTGCCGCAAGCATTGCCCCACCCTCGGAATCGGGGTTGGCTCATAAACGTGGAGAAATCTCAGGCGGTTCCATCTCGGAAGGTGACGTTTGTGGGCTACCAAGTGCATACGGAATTAGCGAGCATGTTCCTCCAGGAGGGCAGGATTGCCAGGCTGATGGCAGTTACCGGGGGTATCGTTCAGGCGCATCATGAGACACTTAGGGCTCCTGACAGCAGCCATTCCGTTTTTTTTAGAACATAGACTTGCGGAAGAGCCGCTGATACGGAGATTAAGGGTACTGCGAGATACATTTTTGTCCACTCCGTCTTGGAGGAGCTCCAACACCGAAACCACCGCGGTTGGTTGATACCATAGCTACACGGAACGCACCACGCTGGTTTCGGTGTTGGAGTTCCTCCAAGACGGAGTGGACAAAAATGTATCTTGCAGTACCCTTAAAGGAGAACTATGGGGTCAGTGTTTTTCCCCGTAGTTCTCCTTAGGGTAACGGGAGGACACAAACTAGCGTCCTCCCGTCACCCTAAGCTCAGTATATAGGGAGCTACAGCTCGCGGTATACTAAGACGCCGCAGCTGAAGCGGATCCCGACGTAGATGTCTGGATCCGCCCAGCTGCGTGACTGACAGCTGGCTCTGCCTATCTAGAGGCCCCTCCGCCAGTCAGCGCTGGAGGATCGGGGAGGGGGGAATCCAGCCCCTCCCCCTGTCATGGCAGAGAGCCGTGACAGGATCGAGAGGTGAGTGAACGCCGGTATGTGTTCGCTCACCTCCCGATCTACTGAGCCGACCTGGGACAGTCTCATTGTCACAGGTCGGCTAGAACTATGAGGTGAGTGACAAGCACCCGCCTCATAGTTCTCCTTTAAGGTCCAGATCTCGGCACTATCGTGTTTTTTTAGAACATAGACTTGCGGAAGAGCCGCTGATACGGAGATTTCTGAAAGCTGCGGCTACGGCAAAGCCGCCAGTAATAGCTCGTTTCCCCGCTCGGGATCCGTCGGTGGCCCTGCAGGCTTTCCCGGGACCACCGTTCTCGAACCGAAAGAGACATGTTCTTTGAAGATTCTTACGTTGAAAACGGCACTGTTGGTGGCCATTGAAGAGTCAGCGAGGTAACGCTGTGTCTGTCTCGGATCCAAACTGCGCGATCCTCCCGGATAAAATTATTTGGAGGCCGGACCCGGCTTTTCTTCCTAAAGTGGTCTCGGTTTTTCACAGGACACAGGACGTGATCACCCTTCTGTGCCAATCCATCAAATGAGAAGGAAGCCGCACTACGGGGCATCGATGTTCGGCCGTTGTGTGCTGGAATACCTCGCCAAGACGAAGAGCATTCCAAGGTCAGGCAACCTCTTCGGGTTTTTTTTTTTAAGGTCCAAAGGAAAGGCCTGAAGGCTTCCAAAAGTTCCATAGGTAGATGGATCAAACTGGCCATACAACCAG